TGGAGGGATGAAAAGCTTTTTTGTGCTGTGTGACATGCTGAAAGCAGGCTTTAGTTTCTGTAACCTTGGTGAGACTGCTAATGCTTTAGACATAAATATCTCTGCCTCTCTCTCCCTCTCCATAGCTGATTGTTTGACAAGTTCATTTTACCTTACTTTTCTATCTTGTGTCAAGTGTACATTTCCACAAAAATGTGTGCTTTGAATCAAGGCTGTACTGGTGAAAGGTGCAGGCTTTGGTTCTGTAGCTCATGGGTTAAGATGAAGTTTTTGAAAAGGAGAAAGGATTGGATGGGTGTTTATGTATCGTATAATGGGGGGGAACTTGGGATGGGTCCCTCTGCAAAAGGGGTTTCTGACTGGAGGGAATTGGATACGCTGAAATTAAACGAGCCAATTAGGGAAGCAAAGAGTTTAGAGGTCAAAGCATGCCCCATTAAAGCTCCTCTTCTCAACCTAACTTCTAATTCAGTCTGGCTCTTAGTCTGCTGAAGCAATAAATCTGATTAAATCTCCTTGGCTTTCTCTCTCAGGTCCCTGCTGTTGAGTTGCCCTCTGCCGATCGCTGCATTTTGTGAAATCTGAGGCACCATTGAACATGGGTGCTCAAATTCACACAAACATAACATTGGATCATTGACTGGAGTATTTGTCTGCGCCTTGAGAAACCTGTATTACCATCTCTACTAAAGATAATGTTTAGGAAAAAAGTTTCTTCTGTGTTTAAGACCTGGTTGTGCTCCCTTATTGGTTTAAATAAGAGGTTTCAAACTCCAGTTCCCCTTTACTATTAGATTAATCCGTAGTCCAACACACCTGAATTAAATGGCTGACTGAGCTACTCAGCATGCAGTCAGATTCCAAGGAGTCCTGCTAATTATTGGCTCTGGTGAGCTGAAGCAGATGCACGTGATGCAGGACACCAGGCCCTGATCTTTAAGTGATATATACGTTTCCTGTGCACTTTGTTAGGTAATCCTTGGTGGTACTGGGTTTGATACCCATTTTAACTTTACAGTTTTCTTGATTGTTGTCATCTTAAAGTCTCACAGTGATCACTTGACCATCTTGGACTGGAGGTTTAATGCCTGCCGATTTTCAGAACCTGAGAGACTCCACACACTTGACGTTAAAACCATCGTAGATTGTATAAGTTTTGTATTACAGGTTTGGTCCTACAGTGTATGGTGTCCAGTCACATTTCAGAGACAGCATGCCACACACAGGCAGATTTCACTCATGAAAATTTAGATGGGATTCCAAAAGGAAATATGGCAAAACTTCTCGGGATCGAATGCAAGTTCAGGGTAAACAAACATGGCGGACGAGAAAGAAGCAACGGCAATAATTTGTGGACTATTTTTAACAGGGAAAACAAATAAGCGGACAAGTAGCTATTTACTAAGTTAAACAGAAGACAGGGCTAAACGTCAACCACATTTAGCACTACAAATGTGGAGGGGTGTAAGTCTTTATCAATGGAGCCCAATCATAATAGTAATGTATTAAATAGACAGTAAGACTCTTTTACCTTATTTTACAAATCTATGAATTTGTTAGAATAGGTTTTTGTGTGTTTTTGTCTTATTTAAGCCTGCAACATAGGTGCCTAGCAACATTTTAATCGCCACTTTGCAACAGAAGTCAGGTTTGAACCTGAAGCAACATCACAAAGTGAAAAGTAAAGGTTTGTATGGAATACTACGTGTGGCTGCAGTTATGACAAAACAAAAAGATGAATCAAAGTCCCCCGAAATGACAAAAACAATCACCCTTTAGATTACCGTGTACTGCAGATGGATGTTTTCACTCTCCATTAATCATTTCAGACAAACAAAAACAGGAAATATGGCAGTAATGTAAAGCAAAAAGTGTTGAAAGGTATGTTTTCAAATGAACACATTTTTAACATTACATCTTGTAAAGCACCTTTCTTAGCTTGGACTGGGTTATTATTTTCTGAAATGAAGTTCTTTGCGAAAAGATGTTTGTAATACTTGCTTAGAAATGTGAAAAAATAAGTTAAAAAGAACACTGACTTTTCCTACGTCAGAATTAAACTCTTCAAATGTCTTTTTTTTTCCCTACTAACCTACGAAAACCTTGAACATTGATGGTACCATTGTCAATGAAAAAGAGAAATTTTCACATTAAGAGAGACTGCAACCCTGATTACCTCAGATAAATTCTTTCATACAATTTTTTTTGGTGCTTTTGGAGGCTTCAGATTAAATTGAGTTGACTTAAATGGTAGTGTTTGTGTGGAAACAAGGATTTTATAAATTAGTTTCTCACCTGATACTCTTTTTGTTTTGTTTTTTTACCTGGTTGACAGAATACTTGAGTTCCTTTAAAAACTTTTTTCATTTAGCTATGATTAGCCCTTGCTTTCTTTAAGAGTTTTCCACTATTGATTTGAGATTTTAAGAGTAATACTGAGAAATGGACAGGTTGGGTGGACCTAAATGATTAGTCTAGATGCATAATCTTCTATGATGCACACTGACCTTTGGCTACACTATTCATTTTGGCCATAAAAAAATGAGGAAAAAAAGGATGAATATGTCTGTGTGAATCAGTGACTTCTTTTGAATAAGTGATTTCTTTTGTGTTTAATGTAGCTCACATATACAGCAGGCTTTGCAGTTGAATGCACAAGTGGCCCTGAGAGAGGACAAGCACAACCACGGTCTCTTTAAAGCCTCTCGGTTTGTCTCCAAAGGTGAGAGGTGAAGACTCTCAATACCTCTGTCAGAGCAATACAGAAAAGAAAGAATATCTCAAGGTTAGAATGATTTTTTTTTTTTATTATTTTTTCAAAGAAATATGTGAGCCCTAGGATTAAAAAAAAAAAAATGTTTGCGTCAAAACCTGCCTTTTGAGCCTCTCAGGGACGCTGTTTTTCTGCGCTCACATCAAACTTTCCTTTTTCTTTCTTTTTTTATTCTCCTGTAACTTCAAGAATCACCAATCAAAGCGAAAGGTTTCATGCATTGATAGAGAAGACTTCAGCTGCTGTCACAATCGCTCGGTCGGCGTGTCCACTGCTGTTCATGGGAGGTGTGTTTGTCCAAGTGGACGTGGGAGACAATGTGGATTTATCTGATCTTACAAGCCATCAGGTTGAGCAGAGCTTTGCTAAACATGACCTGAAGTGTGCCGGCCCCCGAGCAAACGCTGCTGTCACCTTGGCCAGCCCGAGCTGTCATCTCTCAGAACGGCCCATGAGAGCTGACAGCTGTAGCGTTCCCAAAACAAATCACTGCTGCGTTTGGTAACACCCTGCGTCCGCGCGATTTAGCCCTCGCTGAGACAAGAGCGGGAGCGGCGGCTGCTAATGCTCCAGCTAATGTACTACCTTGATGTGTGTGCGTGAGTGTGTGTGTGTGTGTGTGTGTGTGTGCGTGTGCGTGTGTCTGTTTTCACCTCTTGAGAACGTGTGCGCAGGTTTGCCTTTGCTGGGATTTACGTACTTTTCTGCCATCTTCTGCATGGGTTGATGTGGCGATGTTCACATCTTTCTTTGTCCCCCTTTTTGCAGTCTTTTTTGAGTGTGGTTTTTTTCCTGGCATTTTTTCTTCATCATCTGTTCTCTGACCGTTAAGCACCTCTGCAAATTAAGGGCCTAAATCATTACGGGTCCGTTTTCTCTTTTTCCAGGCATAAAGCGTTTGTGTTTGTTGCTCAGACTGAAGCAAGGACACAAAGGTTCTGTTGTCCAACATTGAGATGTTGGACAACAGAAACATTAATGTAAAGGTTCAGGAGTGCAGACAGCAGGTTTTGTGTCAAAACTGGATTAAAGAAACAACTTAGACAATTTTTTTATTGATGAAATTAATTGTAATGCAGTCTGTACAAAATGTCTTTCTTTTTCCTCAGAAATGCTTTTGCATGTATGCTTCACTTTTTAACTGGCATTTCTAATCAGTGTATGCACTCTGTTTCACTCTCTCATACACACACACACACACACACACACACACACACACACACACACACGCAAACCTGTCAGAAGCACTTCATAAACAGAGATATTTGATTATTCGATCCCAGGCTTTTTTTAGACATCAAACTCAAGTGGTGGAGATGTGGTTTCTATTGATGTCTTTGTTTTTATGTCACAGTCATTGCTCGCATATCCTCATCTTTAGAGACTACCTCAGTTAAATTATCTTCCTCCTCTTATTTTGCATAAAAAGAAAACCATCTAGGCTTCACCTAAAACTATAAACTATATGAATGTACTGAATTTAAATATCTTTCCATCCGAACACGACAAATGCACATTGGGCGTGGGTAATAAAATTAGTAAGTCTGACCAACAGACTAAATATATCACTGGTATCCCAACTTTGTATGCATTTCATTTAAAATATAATACCCCATCACATAGTGCATGAAAAAAAGTCATATTGCAAACATTGGTGATGCAATGACGATTGCAGTTCAACATATTGTGCTGCTGTTGTGTCCACATTTGAATATCTGTTGGTACAGATGTGTACTGAACCAAAAAGATTGTACTTTAGCAGTTGGTGTTTTTATCTCCATGACATAAAGCCATGAATAAAACATGGAAGAATGACCCTTGACCAAGCACTCACTTTCTTGTCGGCTACAAAACTGCTAAATCTGGATACAAACTACTGAAAGAAGTGGCGTTAGTGGGGGGCGGGGACATCATCAGCACCGTATGTGTTAACACTGTATGAGTGTGTATAAATGACCAAAATATCAATTAATATCAGTCCAGTACTGATATTTTATTGATTTTGATGCAGTTTTTTTTTTTTTGAAGAAATGCATTATTTTACAAATCTTGTTTCCTTCTCCATAAATACCCTAAAAGTCTTAGATCCATTTACTTCCAGGCTATGCATTTCTGCTGATGTACACTTTCGATACGTCCTCTTGTAGAATTTGTGAAACAGAAAATATTTCGAGGCACACCAGATCCTTTGCTTAATGCTTGTATGTCTCCTTTTATCTTCATGCAGATGTTTTGAGGAGAGGCTTTTGTTCAGCTACACAGATGAACAACAGGAAGGAGGACATGGAGATCTCATCTCACTACCGTCAGCTCCTCAGAGAGCTCAATGAACAGAGGCAGCATGGCATCCTCTGTGATGCCTGTGTCATCGTGGATGGAAAGATCTTCAAGGCCCATAAGAACGTCCTTCTGGGCTCCTCACGCTACTTCAAGACTCTTTACTGCCAGGTGAGGGACTGCATTTTCTAAAACAATTCAGGGAGAGTATATGTTTACTTTTCCGTCACGTTCTCATTACAATAAAAAGTGAAAGGGGTCCGTTTGTCATCCCGCAGGTTAAAAAAGGAGCCGAGCCTCCCCATCAGACTACTGTTACGCACCTCGATATTGTGACGGCGACCGGCTTCAAAGCCATCTTGGATTTCATGTACTCAGCGCACCTTGCCCTTACCAGTAAGAACGTGATCGAGGTCATGTCGGCCGCCAGCTACCTGCAGATGACGGACATTGTCCAGGCCTGCCACAGCTTCATCAAGGCTGCTCTTGACATCAGCATCCGCTCGGAGATGGCCGATGAGCTGGCTGACTTTGAAATGGGAGCTGTTGCCGCAGGTTTAGGAGGAGGAGGTGGAGTCTCCGGGAATGGAGGAGGGGTCAGTTTAGCTGGAGCCGGGGGTGTTCCAGGAGCTAGTTTGGGACGAGGGGGTGGGATAGTAGGTATAGCCTCTGAAGCTTTGGCGTCCATCATTTCTGGTCGCAGCACCTCTCCCTGGCTGGCACGCCGAACTAGTCCAGCCAACTCCTCCGGAGATTCAGCCATTGCCAGCTGCCATGAGGGGGGCAGCACGTATGGGAAGGAGGACCAAGAACCCCCTAAGAGCCATGAGAGCCAGGAGGAAGCATGCCATGACTCTCAACCCGCCTGGCCTCATGACTATAGGCCGGTCAATGTCAAAGAAGAACAGGTTTCCCCTGCCTCCTCTTCTCATCCAAGGGACACTCCCAAGGGGTCAACCCAAAGCCAAGTAGAACACGGGGCAGGGGGAGCTGGTGGTGGAGGTGCCGAGGGGCCCTGGCAGCCCCTATCGGGGTCCGGGCGGAGGAAGAACCGGAAGAACAAGGACACAGTCAGACATATCACCCAGCAGTCTGAAAGAACCTGGGATCGGCAGAGGGACAGGGACAGAGACAGAGACAGTAGGCCTGGATCGCCTCTGCCCTCCATGCTAGCTGTCACTGGTTGGAACTACAACGGCCAGGACATCCCAGGTAAGACCAAGCCTTCCTCCAATGGTCAGTGTGCACCAGCTGTAATGTTGGAATTAAATATATTCAAGCTACAGGTTGAAAATTCAATTTAAATGACACTGAAATCAGAGCTCTTCCTTAGAAAATCAGAGGTTTCTTAACTTTTTTCCTTACAATCCAATGTAGTTGGTTTCTGGCCAAAGCCAACATAAACTCTTCCCACTTCCTTCAGTTTGTGAGACTTGTGACTGACTTCCAGTCTCGGGTTTAATCTCCGGCTTACTGGTATTGATTTTAGCTGATTTCAAATCCTCTATCCATGACATTAAAAAATAAATAGTCAAAATATTATTTTATTGCTTTTCAACTATGACTGGTCAAATACTTTTTTATAGTAGGAGACAAAGTCTTTCTGTCGCTGCTTGTGACAGAGAGCAGCTACTGTAAAACTAGGTTTACTCATGTAAAACTTTGGTAAAATAGTTTGAACTTTATTTTCTGAACAAATGCAAACAGAGGCCGAAAGATTACAAAACTAAAACAGAGATTCCCTTTTAGCTACAGAAGAGGTCAGTTTGTCCCTTTGCCAATTTGACAAACGTACCATGTCCCGGTGTAATTTTTAAAAATTTAAAATATCCTTTTGCAGGCAACGCTGAAATTTTCTACTTTACATCTTCAACTTCAGCTTCCACACTGCAGAGTGTTGTTATTTCAATCTAGCAGTGCTAACATGTATGGTGCCTTCACTGATGAGAAAAGAATGATATTTTTGAGTGTGTGACTGGCAGACCAAGCTCAAAATGGTCCAGTTTTGGTGCATAATTTAAATCAGTCACATACATATTACTGGCAAATTTCTACGGTCGAACATTTTGCTACAGTGTATGACTGCACACATTTTGATAGCTTGTGTTGGTTACAGGTAGTTTGGTCACTAGCAAGTCCTGCTTTTCTAACCTGCAGCCGAGACAGCTATATAAGTTTATTACGAGATCCGACTTCCGAGAATTAACTGGAATGGAGCATCTTTCTATTTTTAGAAAAGTGATTTAAGCAATAGGCGAAACAAACCAGGTGTTTAGTGGCTAATCGTGTGCTCAGATTAACAGTTAAAGGTCTAAACATTGAGCGGAAAGGACTAGAAAGGATGAATGAAGGTCAAAAGAAAAGCTTTTTATCTCTGGGTGTGGGGTGCCACTAGAATTTTACCTTTTTTTTTTTTTTTTTTTTTTTTTTTTTTTTTTTTTTTTTTAAATCTTGTGGACTATAAGTTTGCTTTCATTGAATGTAATTGCCGACTGTCTGGTGAGGTTACAAGATTAGGGTAGATAATTGGGTGAAACTGTCGTCTCAACACCTAACTGTGGCAAAATCTAATTTATCTTTAAGGCTGTTTAACCAACTGGTCAGCAGCTGGAAGTAACTGAACTTCTGCTGTTAAGTTCTGCTGAACTCACGTGCAGCATCCTGTAGTGCTTCATCAGAAACTTAGAGAAAATCATCTCTTTGCACAGTTTGTACAAATTGACCTCTTTTTACTCTCTCTCTCTCTCCTCCGGCATTGTGATTAGTGAGCTTATACACTAACGTGTCAGGCCTAAGATGATTATCTCAGATCTTGAAGGTGTGAGGTGAAGCCTGGGTAAATGCAGATGGATAATACAATCCTTTCTTTACTGCAGTTTATTTAAGCCACCCTCCCACTTACACAGACGAGAAAATGTGCACACAAACACAGTGGTGAATGCATATTTATTTTGAGATTTCTTCCTTGATCCTAGGCCTTGCAGAACTGCTTAGCGAGTTCTTCTTCTCCAAAACTTATACATCATAAAGTTACCTATGTGTGTTTGTGCGTCTGTGTGCATGTTGTGGGCCCAAGGCGTCAATAGGTAGATTATTAAAAGTAAGAGAAGCTAATCCTGGGCGCATTAAGGGAGTTGGCTGTGAAATGGGCACACACGTCGCGCAGTGAAAGAAAACAGGATAATTGAATTGACCTGGGTCACTGCACGGATTACCAGCGCGTCCTCGCCATCCCGGGCTCCTCCCCCTCTCTCTGGGGTTTAGGGAAGGACCTTCTGGAAAGGGCGAGAAGATGGAAGAGAAAGAGAGAGCGTTAGATTGGAGGGGTAATTAGAGAGAACAAAAATACAGAGGAGCAAGAAGGAAATGGGAATTGAACGGTGCATGCTTGTGGGCTATGAAGCGTTTGTCTTCTCCAGTTGACGTGTCTTCAGTCCCTGATTTTATGACCCGCAGTTGGACCTTATTACTTTGCTCGAGTACAACTTGTCTTGAGTCTCAGATTGTCAGACATCAATGCATAATCACACACAGTCACACAGGTAAATGGTACAAATAAGCTGGTTGGCCAGAGCCATGGTTCTGGTAGAAGGTAGAGTTTTAAGTCTGGCTGTGGTGAAGCAGTGTTTAATGGGAACTGTGTTTGCCCACCTAAAGGTTAGAGAAAGTGTAGAGTTGCTGCTGGTGTAGACTCACCTGATGTTTGCCAAAAGGCAACCAATCATTCTTGAGTGCTACTGGCCAAGATCGACTGGGTAAAGACTCAGACAATCGAGTCTCCTTCAGAGTGACGGACTTGATATTTAAGAGCAAACATCTTGTTACCGCTCAAGGTTTCATAGTTTCACTGTTGAGCTTTGAGGCTGTAGTTTGTGTCTGTGCATAGTGGCATGCAATCCTGGTTTTAATTTTAGCTTTACAGCCTAGAGTCCAATTGGTCCACAACTCTAAATAACTGTGGATCAAAAGTACAAACAGTGGCTCTGGTGGGCTTACGAGCGTTCGAGTCCTTAAGTCTTAAGTCTCCTTAAGCCCAGGATTTTGTCACCTCCAGTCAACGATCTAAATGAGATGTACATGCATGTTAAAGGGCCAAAGCATTAGAAAGTGATCAGATTTTGTGGATTAATATATTGCTGAGATTTGCAAGATGCAGTTGGCAAGAGGACTGAAACAATTTGTTCTGGTGGCAGCAGAATGTGGATTGATGTTGATGAAGGAAAAATGCTTGGTAACAACTTTACTATGACATAAGCAAAAAATAAATTAATGATTAAAAGTGAAAATGAAATCTGCTTTTTTTTTTTTTTCCTTTTCAGTAAATTAGAATTTTATCTGGAATATTTTAATTATTCCATTCCATTAGCAGGACAAGCTGGTACAGAGGCCCCCTGTTTCTCGTGGCTCAGTACTCATGGATTTACCTATTTGTGGATTCTTCTGTGGAATGTAACTCTGTTTTTTTTTTGTGTGTGTGGAAAATTTGCCTTTTTGTGGATTTTATGTAAAATATTTGAAAGGAAATGCAGCTTTGGAAGCTGAAATACTTTGGTGCAATGCTACTCAACACGCAGTTCACTGGCATTTGCAAAGCAGCGAGTCTAGGAGCGCCATTCATTTTCCTTGATGCTCATTAGCTCCACCTACAATAGCGGAGATAAGACAGACTGCACATGTAAGCTTCTCCAGTAGTGCAAAGATGGTTTCCGCTGTGAGCATAAATGCACATTAAGGTATATTTGGCGTTTGAACTATTTAAATAAAAAGTTCAAAGTCTTTCTTAGATGGGTCTCAAGTATTTGTGGATTTTAACTATTTGTGGGTTGCTTTGGTCCAAATAATTAAGAAGCTAATAGTGTTTGTGAGGGCTCAACTTATTAGGTGTTCATTTATTCAGGCGATCTGCTCAGGTAGCGAGCCTACAGTCAGCTGCGAAATAAAATTCTGCTTGTAGCTTGTCAACTACAGTTATAATGCATCGTTTCTTTAAGACAGGGGATTTCCACAAAGTGCCTGTCAGTATTTCTCATGATCAGAAGAGTTTGTCTCTATTTTATGGGTGGAGGAACGTGGTTGCCTTTTGCCAGACAGCTGTCTAGCAGTGTGCAGCCACGGGTAGGGGAGGGGTGGCACTGCATTCAATTAAATGAGTGTAGAAATGAATTTTCAGTAGATTATTCAGCTTTCAGTCACAAGACAGTTTTAGACAACTTTATAATGTGAAGGATAAATCCATTATTAAATCTCACCTAGAAATTTCTTCTTTTTTTTGCTACCTTGTCACAAAGTTTCAGATTATGAAACAAATTTTTATACTTTTCAAGCAAAGTATAAAATACACTGTTTTCAATAATGCTTTCATTGATTTGAAAGCTGTTGCGGGGTTAAAGTGTATGTATTGAGGTGTAAATCCTTGTCGCAGCGGTCACAGGTTTGAGTCCCGACCTGATGACCTTTGCCTCTTGTCTCTCACAACCCTCTTTCCTGTCTGACAACTGTTAAATAAAACCACAGAGCCAACAAAACCTTTTGAAAAAAACAACCTTATAGCTCTGGGGAGAAAGTCTGGCCAGTTTCTCTTTGCAGAACAGTTTTAATTCAGTCACACTGAAGGTTATTGAAAGTGAATAGCCTTTTTAAGGGGATGCCACAGCATCGCAATCAGATTTAACATCAAACTTTATCCAGGCCTCTTATGAATACTTAATTCTATCCTTCGGGCAGTAATCACTTTTTTTTTTTTTGCTTAAACTTTGTTTTGTTTTGTTGCGAATGTTATGTAAACTCTGTGTGTTGCCAGTCTTGGCCACATAGTCTCTTGCTAAAGAGATTATTTTTAATTTCAATGGCATTTTACTGGTGAAATTAAAGGTAATAATGATAAAAATCAGGCCTAGTACTTTTTAGTTGTCCTATATCTGGCCAACAACAAGATTAGAGTACTAATGAATCTGTATTTAGTCTTCCAGTTAAGTCATAACAGCATTTAAAAACCACTCAGTGGCCTAATCTTAGGGGGCTCAAATAATTTCGTAGTATTCTTGAGACATGAACAAGATTTGGTTTAGTGTAAAGGAATAACATCACAAAAGTTTTATTGAAAACACTGGTTTATAAATGATCCTCGAAGTTGACATTAAAAGATGATATGAACATTTTTTTCCAGTACTTCTGTCTGAGATGAGATGTAATCTGTTTTCTTTATCTTTTTG